GGGGAGCAAACACCAGGACACAAAGAGAACTGAGGATTTCATGACCAGTTTCCACCTGGCAGTGATGGTGGCACTGGGCAGTTTATTGCCCTGGGTGTGTCTGAGCTCAGGACCAGCCGAGATTCAGCTAAATATAGCGTGCTTGTGCAAAAACCAGTAACCCTATTAAAAATTTTCATAATTTTCTAAGCAAAGCAGGTAGAAAGTGTTTCTAAGCCCCATTATTACCGGGATCACCTTTGAAGGGTGGCTCCCCATTATGTTTCCAGATATTGCCCTCAAGGAGTGGCTCCATTTCCCATTGTGTGATCAAATTTCACAATCTGCTGTGAAACTGCCRGCTCAGCACCCGCCGTGCTGAGCTGTGATCCCCAGAACAGCTCCCCATCCCCGAGCTGACACCCAATTCCCTTTCCACSAGGGTTGTGAGAGATAAATTCACTCACGAGGAGGGCACCTCTGCCTTTTTGCCTATTTTGGCCTTAAAAAGCRCTCTGCAAAACCACRAAACACAGRTTTTCCACWGCTCARGGTGGCTGGGAGCTCTCCTGCCTCRCCTTGCCYGGCACACACGGGTTCTGCAGGCACACACACGTACTCCAGAGCCAACAGAGAGGTTTTTCCCTGCTAAACACACTCATTTCTCCAGCCACACCGTGAAAACCGACAGTTTCTGGGCAGGCACATGGAAAAAAAAAAAAATCGCTTACATTTGAGAAACGCACTTGGCCGTAAACACCTCRGCAGCAATTTGTAAAGTGGCATGGGAGTGATGCAAGGGTCACTGAAATCATAAACAGACTTAACAGGACACGTGGCAATTTGAGGGCTCAACCAGGATGAGGCCAGCACATCTTTCTAATCCTCAAATTGGTTTGGAGAAACCAAAAATTTGCTCCCAGTCACTTAAGAGGTATTAAAATGAACTTTGTTGTATGGCRCTGATGTCTTGAAATGGGTCCAGGCCTTACGACTCAATTCCTAAACTTTCATTAAAAATAAAAATAAGTAAATAAAATCTACTTGGAAGTAGACCTGCAAGTAAAACAGGCACAAAATAATTCTTMAAAAGGTGAAAATCATTTTCAGAAAACCAAATGCAAACCAACAGAAACATAAAGTTCTGTGTTTTATAATAATTAGCAGCATATTGATGACTTTGGACCTTTGTCCAGGAGCTGTAAGAGCAGTTCCACTTGTGTTCTTGGAAGAAATTCCTCCCTATGGCAYATTGTGTGTATCTTAGTGCAAAAATTCCAACCCTCTCTCCTTGTGCCTGATTTAATTCTAGAAACACAACTCCTTGCTCTCAATTAGCCCATTGGATTCAGTGCTTGCAAAGGCAGAAAAAGAGTTTTAAACCCTCTGCAGTGATGAGCAACTCAAGAACTGAAAGCAGAAATACAAGGACTTAAGAAATACATAACTTGAAATTATCCAGGAATTTCACAACCCTCAATTTTTTTTTTTCCAACATGGGACCAATAAAACTATTTACAACTTGATTCACTGAGCTTTATGGCTTGAGTTAGTAATGACCAAGGTGCCAAAGTCTGGAAATGAAGTGGTTTGGATGTACTAATCACCTGGTGTCCAAACTAACAGCTGTTTAATAGAACTTAATCACTACTGTCAATGCTGTGTATTTTCTCCTATTAAAGAAACATTTAGTGTTATTTATGCTTTAATCATATTAACACACGAAACCATCCAGGTACCATCCAGGAGGTGCAGRTTCCCTCCCCACTGCACCAGGGCATGCCCAGGGTCCCCAAATCCAGCCCAAGCACCTGGTGTGGTGCTGATTTTCCTTGGAAAATCCCCTTAAACAGCTAAGGAATGGAACAAGGGAATGCTTTTCAAAAG